CTGTCAGAAAAAAAAAATATTTACTGGTTAGTAGTTATGCCAGCAATTGGTTTGGGGCACATTGTTAATCAAACCTGTTTGATAATAATGCATTGGTAGTGTTGATTATTCATTCACATTGTTTGTTGTTGTCTTTCATATTAGCTGCGCATTATTTATGTAAATTTGCACAAGTTTGAATATACATATTGGCAATTTGCATACAATTCAACAAATATTTCAACCTGTTTTTGCAGTTTCTCGAACCAAATTGCAATATACATATTACAAGTTACTAGGGGAAAATCGTTTCTTAGCTAAATTATTGTATTACTAGGTAAGGTATGTGCATAGTCAGTGAGGTCATAAGATGAGCTGCTACTTCATATAAACCTTCCTTTCGAACGAAATCCAATTAGTAGTAAATCCATATCTGCAATACATTTTTGGGAAACAGATATGCGCATTATTTATGAGAACGCTTGACCGATTAATGGTTCCACCAATCGTCAATTATATATTCACAATATCCAGTTATCCACAATTAGACAAACGCGTAGGAAAGACTCGATGTAAAAACGCAATGCTCCAATCCATCTATTGATATATTTGGAAATTGTCATACTTTATAGTAATTTATTTTGTACCTAATTCTGCTGGAAATATGTAATTAAAATAAGGACTATGTTCCTATTTTCAAATACTATAAACAAATCCTAGAAAACTTATTAAGCAATGTATGTGTGTTCAATAGACATTTCTTCCGGAAATTGTCGTCAGTGTTTTCATAAAGTTTGCATAGTGAAATTGTCCTTCACATAAGTTCATACTAATCAACGTGAGCCTTCTCGAAACAATATATGGTTCAAAATTAAAGGTCTGCATTGCGTCCTAGATAACTCAATTGACAGCGTGTCTGTTACATTGCTTGCTGTGTGAGTAATACATTCAAACACAGTTTTTGTGGTTTCTTCTTAGCACAGTAACACGTGGCGGATGTTTGTTGTTTGGTGTTAAGTGATCTGTGCAATAATATCTTGATCGGTTTATGAGTACAAAGCCAAACACAGGACATTGAATGACGCATTCTGATTTCTACTTGCATTTTGCCACTTTGCCACATGAAGCATTTGACTACTTGCTTGACGATCTTGCATTAATAGTTTTAATTACACTTGGAGTAATTATTAATGTGAGTGGACTTACCACAATGTCACCATGGAACATAACTAACTTGTGGAAATATATATTGTTACTATGAAAACAAACTTATAGACATGCATGTTACAATTTCTCGAAAGAAGGGCTAATATATATTAGAAATACTGTTTTTTACAACATTATGCGATTACACAATATACACAATGGCCGTAAATGCCATATTGAGTTCGTAAAAATTGTATCATATACCTTAAACAATCCATTAAAATAAATGCAATTTTTCGAACTATTGGTGTTTCGTTTATCCCGTTTATTATTTTTAGTTTTACCATTTATGCAATCGTTCACGGTGCGCAGTGATATTTCAACGAGACGCGCTATTCAAATTTGCTACGAATGTCATCTCCCTCAACGCGATGTACGGTGCAAATATGGTGGATAATAAACATTATTGCACAGCTCACTCATCGGGTTTACCATAGCGGTAAAAGCCAGGCAATACGAGGTGTATGATTATAAGGACTTGTAACCTTATATTAGTTTGTAAAATAAATGTAGTTACCCTGGAAATTATGTGGGGTCTAGAAATTCAGAGGCATAACAAACTCATTGTACTGTTTTTTCTAGTCAATGGAGTGAACTAAAATAAAAAAATGTCTTATTCTGAATATAGCTGCTGGACTAAAATGACGTTTTCCGTGTAATTAAATACAACATTATTTTGCAAACAGGTTGTTTCTTAAAGGCACCGCATATTTTCAAAAAAGGTTTTAGGCATGAATGTTTGACTAGTTCTACATACGATTTGAAGGTTTGAATGGTTACAGTAATGGATAAACGCCTCCAGGTTGTGTTTACCCAAGTTTCATTCATTGCTCATTCGTTATTTATATAATCATTGAAGTATTCATTACCATATCCTTGAGATATTTTTTGTTAAGAAGCTACTGATATGCAAAGTGTATTATTACTTGTTAGTAAATGCCACGCACCGCCGCATATCAAACATTTCCCACAATTCCATTCTACAATATACACACAGGAAGTAATAACATTTTCAGTTTGCATGTTCGTAGTCAATAATATAACACAAAAAAAACAAAACAACAACAACATAACATAACATAACATAACGCAAGCCATGCATGACACAGTCCCCGTTAGTTATTGAATTTAAGATATATAGTTTTGTTTATAGTAATATAGCTGGAACATAAACATGTCAGAAATATAATTATGATGATTGAGAGATATTGCTCTGGGACAGCATTAATTAAACATGTATAATGAATATATACAATTTGAACATAATCAGTCAAAGCATGTCAGAGATATGGCATTCATTAATACAAAATGGCCACCAGTCGGCCATTTTAAATCCGATCTGAAAAATAAAATGACGTGCACCAGGAACCCACAATGTCTAATGTATGTACCAAGTTTGAACAAAATCCATCCATAAATGCCACAAATGCTTATATTTGATGATTTTTTAGCACAAAAATGGCCACCATTCGGCCATTTTTAATAGGATCGTCAAACCAATATATCTGTATATCTATGACATGATTTATAATGAATATTTAAAATTTGAACATAATCAGTCTAAGCAAGTCAGAGATATGGCACTAGAACCACATTCATTAAAACAAAATGGCCGCCATTCGGCCATTTTTAATCTTATCTGAAAAACAAAATGATGTGCATCAAGGTCCTATAATGTCTAACGTATATACCAATTTTGAACAAAATTAACCTGTAAATAACCGAAAAATGCTTGATTTTAATGATTTTTAGCACAAAAATGGCCACCATTCGGCCATCTTGAATCAGATCGTGAAACAAATTGACGTGCATATGTATAATATTATGTATGATATATGTGTGAAGTTTGATTGTGATTGGTCCAGGCATTTCTAAGACACAGGCTCGGACGCACGCACGCCGCACCGAAACACGGACTCACTTACGCACAGACGCATGGAGGTCAAAACATAAGTCCCCATTTTCGGACTGCGACTAATTACATAACATAACATCACGGTATGTGGTGAACTGAAATTATTGGATAACTACGGTATGAGGTAAACTTAAATTATTGGATAACTACGGTATGAGGTAAACTGAAATTATTGTTTTCAAAGATAAAATAAATCTGCCCACTCCATCATTCACGGAGACATTGTAGAGAGTCTTTATTGATAATATCGTCACATAATTTAATATCACTAATCAATCAACTAAATAAGCATCTGTTAAAAAACTATTTTTTTCTTTATCAAAAAATTATCATGTTAATGTTGTTTTGTCTTCAAAAACCACAAACAAGAATATATGCCTTCTATATATTGTGCGCTACACTGAATAATTCTATGTGATACATGCAATTATTCTTACAATATCTCATCACGTACAAATAAGGAATGCGTTTCATAAGTGATTGATGGTGTGATTCAATAAAAAAAAGCTGTCCAAATCCGCCGATGCCAACGTATACTTAGTTTCAATATGATTCAACATAGTTTCAGAATACGTCTGATGCTGAATGAAGATATTTACTGATTCATTACATACATGTAGTTTATCTCATGCCATCAATGAAATAACAAATATTTGGTATTTCTCATTGAGTTGAATATATTATATCTAAGCATGTTTTATACATTATGCTGAGCAATCCATTTTAATCGATTCCTAAATCATTTTTCTCCCAATGAGGTACATTATGTTCATTTGTATGCATGCTTTATATAACGTTGAATTCATTTTGATATACAATATACATATTTATAACAAGACACTGCATTCCCCTTCATATGCAGCGATATTCCTTGTATATATGTATACCTATCACTATTTTGTTTCAATCTTTCCAATTTGTACATTTGAAATTGTGCATAAGTGACATAAAGAATACGCTACATTATCTCATGCAACGCCACATTTTAACTTTTAAATTCAATTCAATTTAATTCAAAAAGCATACATATTAACATCGTAGCTACTTCGTCATCTATACTGATCCACACTTCTTAGATAATAGATAAATAGATAATCTGCACTACCAGTAAATATACTTGTTACGGCAAAAGGAATCTTTATTCTTACACTTGACATTTGCATCGTTTTAGTGTTATCGTGATTAGTGTGATTATAATTAAAATGTTTTAAGACAATGTCTACTATCTAACCTCTAAAAACATTAATTAAATCATACATATTCTGATATAAAATTGTCAACACTATCCTTTCAGGTGACATACGATACGAGGCATATCAAAATCCAGTTAAACAGTAATTAGTTAAATTTTCCAATTGTATGCAAATTGAAAATATGCAAATTCAATAGTTTGCATACATTTTTACAGCAAATTGTGGAGCTTTTCATTACAGAAGTTGTTTAACGATGAGTCAATAACTGGCATAATCATGGAAACTGTTTTCAACTCTAAAATAGACAGATTTAGAAGTCAGAATCAAACACAATATTTTTCACGCTTGAAGATTATTTAACAGACTTAAGTTTGATACTTCAATGCGTTTACATTTTCTGAAATGTGATTATTTTGTAAGTTTGCTAAATAATGTGAAGGTGTCACAAAAGCGACAAGCGACAAAATCTATATCCCTGGTGTTGATCATGTATCTAATATATAATACAATCATCATTTTCTCGTCAATGGGTTAAGCTAACTTGCTCCATTATGGGAATGGTTGCTCGACTACATGCAGGAACATGCCCCATAACATTAGTGCCAACGATTTAGAGAATTGTACAGTGAAGAAGTTCGTTAAATGCAAACAATGAATTCGACACAGGTAATAATGTCACTTATGAAATATGTATTTATTAATTCCAGATACTATGTGATTCACAATCCTTTGACGCCACGACTGACCAAAAGAAAAGTATTACTGATTGCCGTGCTAACATGGGTCGTGTCCTTCATTGTCTCTATACCAACTCCAATGAATACTACTGGATCTAGTGGTAGAGACAAAACTGGCCGAGTAATCCACTTCTGCGCGGAGTACTGGTCCAATCGTATAGCATCTCGTGCGTACATTATGTTCCTGACCCTCTTTGAATACGTGGTTCCCATGGTAGCAATGATTATCGCATACTCCAAAATTGTACGGAAGGTTTGGTTCCGAAGAACCCCGGGAAATGCCACAGATCGACAAAGAGAGATTGTCACAGGGAACAGAAAGAAAACCATTCGGATGCTAATCATCGTCGTTGCGTCATTCGGTCTATTCTGGGGTCCGTACTATGCTTATAACATCACCGTGCATTTTCTTGAAAAATTCTGGATAGAGCAAGACCAAAATATGACTGGCTTCTACGTCGTAGAGGTTCTTGCCATGAGCAACAGCGTTATGAATACAATCGTGTTTTTCCTTATGAACGACAACTTCCGGAAAGAATGTTTCAATCTTCTGTGGAGAAAACCGCATTGCATGAGTTTAAAATTCAACTCAACGTCAGCTACAAACATCAGCCTGACACGAAACGGAACAAAGAACACTGCCCGAGTACTGGCTACTGAAGCAAATGTGTAACTGCACTTAAATACATCAGAGCAAGTATTAGTCAATATTGATCAATCATAATACAAGTTCCTAAATATGGAAATTGAATCACACTTTTATATATATATATATATATATTCAACTTGTTGTTATCTGTGAACACATTTAATTAACATTTTAACTTTTAAAGGTAAATACTCCTTGTTTTCAAGTCAATAAGAGGTGAATGTGTGTATATTAGCACGTGATCGTACCTTTTTGGTGTTAAATTCGTATACTCAATGATGTTATTCACCAACAGAATTACGATACATTAGTACCCATTATACAAGGAATAAATATTTAAATATTGTATATCTATATGTAAATATCTGTTATTGTTTTCAAAAGTGACGTGATACATTATTTCGTGCTAGTATTATTATATAAAATATACTTATATATTGCAAGTTGGGCATCAGAGCGGCAGTAAGTTGCGGCTGCATTTCTTAAGCGAATGATGCACATCCGTTACGACGAAGTTGATTTGTATAAATTGTATATAGCAGTATACATTCTGCACATTGTGTTTAATAAATTGATGTCAGCATATTACGCTCTTATCGTTTTTCTTGACTAATCATGTGATTTTTATAGCTGCAGTGGCTGGTTCGGATTCATTTTAGACTCATAGCGTGTATGTTTTCTTCCCTGTTCCCTTGAACGCGTTTTGGTTTCAAGAAAACTTTCATTGAAACACAATAGCAATACTAGAGACGGGAAACAGCGTCCATGCATGCATGTCAACAATATGCGAACTTTCAAAATATTTCGAATGTTTTAACCCGAAACCAACACTGCCCGGGTACACGCTACTAAAACCAATTTTCATATGGCCTAGATTTTTAATGTAGATAGGTATGTATTTAACCCGTTCCAAATAAGTATAATTTGTGAATGAAACAATTACTTACGTAAATGGTGGTTATAGTGCAGATGACAATTTCGATTTCATCAACTTCATTTAAGCACCGTTTATTTACAAGTGAAAAACAGAAAATGTCAAAAAAATGATTTAACCTCATCCCGATATACCCATTAACCACTATCCATTGCATGCTCGTTAAATTTGAAATACATTTCTGAATTGAATCATTGTGTTATCTTCGAAAGGTCCAATGACTTGTATATTGTGTCACTAACTCTATGTGTATTTATGGTATTTTGTTGCTGGAATGACATGATAGTTGTGAATAATTATTTGCATCAGACAATTATCGTAAATCATGACTGAGAATGCAACACAAAATAATGCGTGGGTCTCTGTGGCGGTGGTCATAATCCTTTGCATAACAAATGATATCGAATAATACAAGCGTTGAACTATTATTTAGCGCAATGGTTATTCTCACTATGTGTCTATACCGATTACAGACAGTGATCATGGTGATCTAAATTCATTTTCCATAGTGAGATTTGTTTTGATTTGAACAGATGTTGAGCAAGATTATGATAGCTAGGAATTATCAGGAAATGGTCATGGTACGCAGCCAATGAATGAATATAGGATAAAAATTGGCCATGGTAAGTAGCAAATACATATCGGCCCGGAAAACTGAAAGCAACAATATATTGAATTGAATATGGACAGGGTAAGAATTGGTCATGGTAAGTAGCTAATACATATCGGCCTGGAACTTGCAATGTAAGCAACAATATATCGAATTGAATATGTATAGATAAATCATCTGCTATGGTATGCGATCAATACCTAGAGCACTGTAAACAAAAATACCAGTAGTGGACAATTTCTTATGGCAAGTAGCCAATGCATATCGGCCTGGAACACTTTGGCCATCAATGTGGTGAATTGGATATGGAACCGTTAATAACTAGCCATGATATGCAGGAAGTGCATATCAGACATGATCCCTGTAATCAACAATATATTGAATTGAATATGCATAGATTAATGATTTGCCATGGTAAGCATTCAATGCCTTTTGGGCTGGAGCACTATAACCAATTCTCTGTTGAATTAAATAGAAAGAGATCAACAACTTTCGATGATGTGCAGCCAATGCCTAAGGCACAAAACTAACTCTCAGTTAAATTGAATACGAAGTGGTGAACAATTTGTCATGGTATGCAGCCGCTACATATTAGATTGGACCACTGTAACCAACGCCTGAATGAAATGATGCAACGAAACCCTATGTGGGTATTATCACTGTAGGACACTATCATGTGACACGGTACTCATGTTTCGGATTCGTTCCGACCGTCCGTCCGTGTACCCGCTCGGCATCATTTCTCGGTTTTTCGTTCCATTGACCTTTGACCAATTGGTGGGCATTTTAATTAGTCCCCCAAAACACCACAAATCAATATTTGAACGATTTCTCAGGCATGCTTAGACTAAATGGTCGACAGGCCAGCTATCATTTTAGTGTGTGATTTGTCGGAATCTCAGATTTATTCTTGCTCATTAGTGCAGCATGCATGTGACAGGTGATCTGTCGCTCTTTTGTTAAAATAAAATAAAATAAAATAAAATAAAATAAAATAAAATAAAATAAAATAAAATGGGAATCATGAATTAAATATTTGGGAATATGATATTCACAAAATGACCGTCTTATATGCGTATTTTTCTTATTTGACATTACATAAAATTTTAATGATGTATTTTGTGAACTAACAAGAACAAAATATCGACTGAAATGCACATTGGCATTTACTGGCAATGAGAGGGACGCCGTGGTGTATATACAATTCACTCATCTCGATGTAATGGAATCATGCGTGACTGTATGCTGATAATAAACATGTAATACGAATTCATACATATTATACTGAGATTGTGACATTTTCGGGTTTATTCTGTTGCTTTTTGTTTGGATTCCGTGATTTATTCTTATTTGAAAAATACGTTGTACGTGGTCGGTATCATTATTATCTTATTTTGCGAACACGTGATAATTTTTCCGCATTTAGAAATAATTTATAGCGAGCGAAGCGAGAGCGGTCGAAGGTCGCTCGCAAAGCGAGCTCTATAGATCGCATATGTATATATACGAGTAGAAGAGAATACCTTAGCTGTGGAATCATAGCCCTTAGTTGCCGACCGTATTATTTACGTGACTGACTCTGGCCGGCCCATAGGGCTATGGAGCCTTATGCGACTGAATACTTGTTAAAATCCACATGCTAAATTTGGTCGTCGCGAAAATCACATTTTAAGACCTTCGAAAGTACTAGTACTCACTCTGTTTATTTACTTCCAAACAATGACCAAAACCTATTTGCGCTGTGAAATGATGAAGGTGGTCATAACAAATTGACTTTATTTACTGTACACCGAGTCGGAGAAAAATAACTAGATGAAATACGCCATTTTGGATCCCAGAGTTCATAGCAAATAATAATTGTGTACCACGTGAACGAAATCAGTAGATACATTGCGTTTTATGTAACTAGTTTCCATTTTATTGTTAAACAAAAATCATACAATTATAAATACAGTGTGTGATTGCTTTTTTGGAAAGATGAGAATAACATTTCATAAAAACAATTAAATAGTTTAAATATACATTAGTGAATATAGAAAATGTATAAAAAAAATACGCACCAACTTAAGGGGTCTTCATGTATTCTTTCTAAAACTTTGAGCCTATCACTGGAGTCAATCTGACAATGGATAAACTAAACCTTATCTAAGAGATAAGCAAAAAGAATTGTGTGGCAGTTTTGCCAACTGGTTATGGGAAGAGTGAGTGCTTTATTCTTCCACCACTGTATCACAAGACCGCCGAACGAGATTACGTTTATTTTGCGCTAGGGATTGTAGGATGTCAATGGCTGCCATTTTCTCGTAATTTGGTTGGTTTACGCGGTAATTGTTTGAAAATATCACAAATTATTGCTTATTTATAAACACAAATTTCAAACAAAAGTGTGTATGTTGTTTATCCAGCGATCAATTCACAATAAAGTTAAGTTACACCATCGTAATCGATAGCAAAAAGCGATTCAATTTACCGTAGATTTCTGTTTTTAAACGGTGATAGATCCCGTAGCTCTATGTTCGACATACAACAACAAAACAAGAAGACGTCCAAATTAAAGTGTTAGGGCTAAATAGAGCTACGGAACCGCAGCTACTATATACCTGAGTGAAAACGGTGTACTTTCGGTCAATGGATGCGCCATTTTTTTTTTACAAATTATGCAAAGAGAAACAGCTGATTCATGATAAAGCACCTTCATAATGTTCTTCACTGAAAAAACAATCGTTTTCCGGAAAATAGTGTTTCGGGTCATTTTGATCAGGGCAACACACGAATTGTGCGTGGCGCCATCTTGAATTCCGATCAACTCACGCGTAAACGAATAACCCAATTTCTGCAGTTCACGCACTTCGACGTTGTATGGTTACGTCAGTTCTATTTTTAATAAATGAATAAATGCGCTTGCTCGCCAGATATTGCCTGCCACATATTACATTCAGTGTTTCAAGAGAATTTGAAGTATATCATGGCTGTTATAAATATCTTCTTTAAGCGTCCAACTGTTCCCCTGCTGGTTTAATGCAATTTATGAAGGCGTATTATACAAAAATTCGCTAACAGCGCCATCTAACGCTATTTCTTGTATACTCATTTGGTTTTATCTGCTAGTGGAGTGGAAATTTTGCTCGATCTCACTTATCAAATTATTATAAAGCTTTGGTATTGTTGCATGCATCTCAAATACCATACAAAATTAAATTTAATACTATATTTTCCACAATACGTCACTTTAGGGCAAGAGAGAATTATCCCCCTTTCTCAATTCGGCCGCCACGTTCTAACTCTTGTCAAGGCCATACACAATAAAACAGCCTGGTATCGAATACTAGCAATAACACGTCAATTGCTATCACATATAACCTTACAATGGGATATCTCTGTATCATACTACTGTGGGAGTACCATCAATTGAAGTGACATATGCAATCAAACATATAATATTACAGTGGAATATCTGCATTATACGACAATTAACAATTA